AAGGATCACTAACACAGTAGTTTTACAGACCACAGTCTGAACGATTATATACTCTATAATGAGTATATAATGAGAAATTTCCCTGATCGGGCAACTAGGAAAAACACTCAGCTCTCTATTGAAAGAGACCAGAGGTCGAGGAGGGGCGGGGCGCCCACTTGCCATGCATATGCCAACCCAGATTTAATCCCCAACACTCAGCTCTCTATTGAAAAAGAGACCAGAGGTGGGGGGGGGCGGGGCGCCCACTTGCCATGCATATGCCAACCCAGATTTAATCCCCAGCACCCATCTGGTCTCCCAAGCTCAGTGATCTCTGAATAGAGACAGGAATGAACCCTGAGCACTGCCCAGTGTGAACTCCACAACCAAACAAATAATAACTAAACAGAGCCACCGGCCAGACTGACAGAAACATTCCTATCACCAAGCCCTGGGAGTCATCCCCAGTATCCCAGCCCCATACACTCATTCCATCAGGTCCTGGACCAATATTTCCTGCAGCTAGTGCTGCTCGGTTTAAAATCCTGAGCTTGGGCAAACAGAGAAACAGCACAGCAGGGAGGGCACTGACCTTACATGGAGCTGACCTGGGTTGGCACTGCCTAGAGTCCGCTCGGCCTCTGCAGGAGTGATCCCTGAGCACAGAGGCAGGAGTGATCCCTGAGCACTACAGGGTGTGGCCCCCAAACCAAAATAAAATTCTAAGCTAGAGACCCTGACACAGTAATAAACATGAATTTACTAACTCTGCTTTAAACTCACCTTTACTAATTATAGCTCCATACAGCCTTGGAACTCTACTACCTGTAATTTTAAGTGCTGGAGGTAATTACGAGGCAGTCAAGGTTTTTATAGTGTCACAGCTATGGCACAAATAGGAATTGAACGTATACAGCTTCATTTGCTCCAGAATGTTCAACATTTTGTTTTTAATCTCTTGGCCAACAACCAATTAGGTACAGAAATTCAGAAGCATGTGGAATTTGAAAAGGTGTGGAAGTAACATCTCCCTAAGCTATATGGAGAAGCTATTAGGCCTTCTTTCAGTCTGGGAATGTCATCTGGTTCAGGGTCCACGGAAAGCAGTATGGAGATGTCTTCAAAAAGTAATCTAAGGGCTCCCAAGTGACCCAGCAATACTGCTTCTTGACACCTACCCCCAAAGCATAGAAATATTCATTTGAAAGAAATAATGCTCACCTATGTTCACTGAAGTAGTTAGTACAATAGTCAAGCTATGGAAAGAATCCAAATAGCCAAGTATGATGATGACTGGATCAAGGAGTTTGGTATATACTGGTGCTGGGAAATGTACACTGGTGGAGGGATGGGTGTTGGAACACTGTATAACTGAAACCCAATCATGAAGAACTTTGTAACTGTATCTCATGGTGATTCAAAAATAAAATAAAAAACCCAGTATTGTAAATTACAGAACCTCAATAAAAACTTTTGAAGTCTTTCCAAAACCTAAATCTGATCATCTCCAAAAAGTTTCAGAAAAGTTTATGAAATCCCCCTTTAGAATGGTAAACCCTGAGCAACTTTCCATCTAATCTCACACATTGCCTAGCAAAGGGATACAGCCCATCATTCCACATCAAAGGACACTGATGTCAGAACAAGAATGAATGAATGTACAGTGATAATTCACACTTAACTGTAACATTAGGTAAGCCTCAAGTGTGCATTGCTGAAAACCAACATCTGCCTTTTCTCCATGATAAAGTAACTTCCTGATCAGGTCTGTGGAAAGACGAAGCTCTGTGAGCCCTCAGGCAGGCCCAAGCGCTCACACCTCCACATAGCCATTTAGTTCATGTGCTGAGTCTCCAATAAAGCCTGTGTCTCTCTGGGCCTCAGTTTCCTCATCTACAAAATGAAGCCAGTCACCTGCTTGTCAGAAGCAGAGGACAGGTGTAGGGCATGCTACTGGCCCTTGGAAGGTTACCAAACAACTGCTAACTGTTCTTTCTACCTGGGGTGACTAGCCCTAGGGATCAGCTACCTGGAACCACCTTCTATAGGGAGAAGCAGTGTGTGGTCCAGTGAGTAGTCCAATGTAGCAGTGTGGTCAGACTCTGCAAGGAAACCCGAGAGAAAGTGACGACATGAAAAGAAAGAAGGAAAGTCTCGCCACTGGTTACAACCCTAGATTCAGACCCAAGCAATCCGGTCTGAGCCAGCACACAGCCCCCAGTGGACTCTGTGCTCCAAAGAAGTCTGAGCCTGCCTGCACTCCCCCAGCCTCAAGAAAGGAAGCAACAAACACATTTTCTTTTGTCCTCAGTGCCAGGGATTGGTGGCACCAGGTATCAGACCCAGGGCCTTACATATGCAAAGCCACTGCAGGGCCTCCCTCCCCAGCCCTAGGGAGGAAACATCAAAAACATGGCATACATTTAAGGTAAGGAGGTGCACTCTATCCCAGTGACAGTGGTTTCAGAACCAAGGGCAATGCATGATGAGGGGGTGGGTGGGTTAGAACTGGACTGCTTGCTTAGAAACTCAACAGCCTCCCCTGCAGTAAGAGCCCCTCTGCCCAGGAGCTATTCCCCTCAAACCCCATGCTTATCCATTTTTCAGGGTTCTCCATATTATAACTTGGTTCTTGATAACTGCGAGCAACTCGCCTGCACGGCAAAGCCTGACAAGCTACCCACAATATGCCACACACAGTAACAAAAATCTTTTGTTACTGTGTTCGTTGTGAGACCATTACTGGTGCCCGCTTGAGCAAATCGATGAACAACGGGAGGACAGTGCTACAGTGCTTGATAACTGCAACATCATGAGATTAAATAAAAGAGCTTGGTCATTTAGGGAAAATTACCCAATTTTTAATTTCCCCTTGAACTTTGTTTTGCTCTTCTAATGCCAACTTCTCAGCCATGTCATCAACCTTCAGCACCGTGATCAAAGGGGGAAGGAAAGGGAGAGCACAGAGTCCACTGGGGGCTGTGTGCTGGCTTGTGTGTTCTATGGGTCCAGGACCTGAGCCCAGCACTTCAGCATGCAAACCAGGCGCCACCTCCCTAGCCTCCCAGCTGTATTCTGAGGGAAAAAGTCCAGGGAATCTGAGGGAAAAGTTATGAAAACCTTTCTATTTTTTTATTCCCTTGCTCCGTAGGCCCAAAAAATTACTGTCCCCACTTTAAGGAGAAACCACTAGATCAGAAATCAAAGTGCACTCTAATAAAGTCTGTACACTACACTCCTTCCCTAAACAAAGCCCCTCACCGCTTCTCACTGTTCCTCATTCCCTCTTCCCATTGCTAGGCTGTTGGAGCTGCTACCCAAAATGAGGATGGTTTCAATACATTTTTTTAAATTAAATTTCAATACATTGACATGCATACACTTTTTCTTTAGCCAGAATGTATCTTTTTATTTGGCAGGAGTCAGGGATAATTTTGGGATCTCACCCCGTGATGTGTGAGGGGTCCTACCGGGCCAGTGCCGGAGCCAGGGATTCCCACATACACAGCACGTACTCTTGTCCTTTGAGCTGCCTCCCCAACCCCAGATAAACTATTACAGTCCAAGTGCAAATACTGCATAACCGAGTATTGGTATAACTTTCAGCCAGTGAATACCATTTTCCCTTGGTCCCACTTTCCTTTTGACAAGGGACTTGAGAACGCACCTCAACTACGCCAGGTCACTGTAAGGCTCTATTCCCCAATTCAGGTGTTATTTTATCAACCAGAAATAAACTGCATGTAGGGCCAGAAAAGTAGTACAAACATAAAAGTGCCTGCCTAGCTTTGCACCTAGTAAGCCACAACCCAGATTCAAATCTGGTACTCCATATGGTCCCGCAAGTATGACTAACAGTGATCCCTGAGCTCAGAGCCAGAGGTAAGCCCTGAGCACAGAGCCATTGGGTGTAGCCCCCAAACCAAATTTAGACAAATGGAGTGTATTACATCCCCTGGGCTCAATCACTCACCGAGAATTCATTTACCCTAGGAATGCATACACATCAACACAGCAGCAACTACAGCCCTTTTGTGATCTTGCTGGCTCTCTCCAAGGAAAATTCCCTCACATGCATGCAAAAGAATCAATCTGTCCGGGACCAGGGGTTCTCAAGAGCCGGTGGGCTTCGTTCGATTCCGGAAGTATTTCTCCTTTCATCTGAAATCCTTCTCAAATGAGACAAGCCCAAGCTACCCCTGGATTTTTTTTCCTGGAGAGGTCAACCCAACGGTATAACCTTGACCCTTGCTTGAATTCCTACCCACCCACCTCCTTGGCAGGAGGCGGCCCGGCAATATTTACTGTCAACACAGCCGCAGAGACAAAGGGACCTCCGCACCCTCCGCGCGCGGGGCGGCCGGCGTAGGGTGAGCGGACGCACCGGGCGCATCCAGCCCGGCGGCAGCAGAGCCCCTCCACGTGGCCGCCCTCGAGCCACCCGGCTTTCGGCGAGCCCATCGTCCGGGCCGAGACCCGAACCCGGCACCGGGAGCTCCGGGGACGGGCGCGGCCGGGGGTTCCGCGGTTCCGCGGGCGACTCGGGATGCGCGTCCCGGCCGGAGCGCCGGAGCCGGCGGACCCGCGCGCGCCCCGCGTCCCGGGGCGCCTCCTCGGGCGGGACACGGCCGCGCGGGGCCAGAACACGGGCGCGCGGGGCGCCTCCTCGGGCGGGACACGCGGCGCGCGACGTGCCCGGGCGCGGGCCGAGCTCCGGCGCGACAGCTCCGTGCCCGCGCGGGGGGCCGGGTCGCCGCGGCACGCCCCCCGCCCCGGCAAGCCCGGGCCCCGCAGCGTCACTCAGGTGCCCGCCGAGGCTGGGGCTGCCGAGTCTCCTCCTCCCTTCGTCCCAGCCTGGTGGGCTCCCGCAGGGGTCCCGCCAGACGGGGCCCCCACCTTCCAGCCCCGGGACCCGGCCGCCAGGGGAGGCTGAGCCCGCACCGCGGGGGGTGCGGGCCCCAGCCCCGCCGCGCCGCCCGGAGGTACCTGGGCCCACCCGATCGCTCCAGGTCACTCACCGCTGCCGCGCGGCCCGCGCCCGCCGCCGCCCGCAGAGCCCGGCCGAGTGCCCGGGGCCGCGCCGCCGGGGGCGGGGCCACCCTCAGCCACGCCCGAGGAGGGCGGGGCGATGCCGCGGTGGGCGGGGAGACTAGAAGCCCCGCCTCTCCTCAACCCGGGCCCCGCCCCCGCCCGCCCCTTGGCGTGCACCTCTGCGCTGGTCTGGCGCCTCCTTCGGGTCTAGTCCTCTCGCTGCCCTTGCCCAAGGGCCCCACACCCCCTGCTCCGCTGGGCCATCGCAGATCTCCCGCACCCCGACCCCCTGCGCCCTCCCGGGTTCCCGAACCCACAGTTCTTCTTACTCTTCCTGGAGGATAACACACACACACACACACTCACACACACACACAACACACACACACACAACACACACTCACACACACACTCACACATACACACTCACACACTCACACACACACTAGCACATTTGACTTTTTCCTCGCTCAATCAAATTGACAAATATTTACTGAGCACCTACTACATCCAGATGCCACTTTCTCTGAGACTCCATAAGGGACCTGTGGGGGAACATGGGTGGGGGTGAGGCGGGGAGTGCCGGAATGCAGACCTCGGGGTGCCCCATCCCTGCCTGAGAAGTCAGTGACAGTGACAGAGGGCAGGAAACCTGCCCCACAGGTTGCGGAGATGGCCTGAGGAAACAAATGCCACACAGTCTGTGCCAGGTCAGCGAATGTTTGCTGACATAGGGAACGAAGCAAACAATTGACAGTTCAATAACCCAGGATAATAGTCTCCAAAGCACTGTGAGGGACAGAAGCAACAGCTGTCGGGTCTGGCAGGGTGCTGTGCTTGCCGGAGTGGTCTCCTGGTCACAGCCCCCCAGCACTGCCAGGAGTGACGAGCACTGAACACAGAGTAGCCGGAGCACCTCCAGGCATGCTCTCCAAAATGGGTAAATTCATAAAAGGGGCCAAAAGGCCGTGCATGCCAGTGGGGCTTGGGGCTCCTCACACCTCACGCTGTTCCTCGTGGTGCGCAGGGGACTGTGCAGGCTTTCACACCCACCTCCAGCACTCAAGGCTTTCAACTCTTGAGCTATCGTTTCTGCTCAAATAAAATTCTTTTAGAATTAACTGGGGGAGGGCAGGGTGGCTGGAGAGCAGGCAGATAAGGTACTTGCCATGTATGCAATCAACATGGGACTGACCCTGTGACCCTGGCTCCTTGTACGGCCCCCAAGCTGGTCAGAAGTAACCACTGAATACATGGGGCTGGAGAGATAGCACAGGGGGTAGGGCGTTTGCCTTGCATACGGCTGACCCGGGTTCGATTCCTAGCATCCCATGTGGTCCCCTGAGCACCGCCAGGAGTAACTCCTGAGTACAGAACCAGGAGTAGTAACCCCTGTGCATGGCCGGATGTGACCCAAAAAGCAAAAAACAAACAAACAAAAAACCCTGAATACACAGCCAAGAGTAAGCCTTGAACACCACTGGGTCTCACATAGGCACCTGCCATGCACATGGAGCGTCCCAGTTTGATCCCTGGCATCCCATATGGTCCCCTCAGAGCCACCACGAGTGATCCCTGAACTTAGACCCAGGAGTGTGTTGCCCTAAAATAAAAATGGGAAACTAAAGTGGTAGAGCAGTTTGGGTGAGCCCCTGTGATCCCCAGCCACAGCCCTCTGATATTTTTGAAAAGGTAACTGTAGGAGTAGAGATTATTCAGGGGCTAGGCCACATGCTTGCCTGTGGGAGCCCCAGGTTGGATCCCCAGCACCTCATAACCGCCCCCCTCTCCAAACAGGCTTAGCCTGAGCACCTTTGGGTGTAACCCAAAAATAAAATCAAAGGTCCCAAGCAACAGTATGGGGAATAGGTCGATTCCATGCTGTACATGGGTGACCTGGCTTCGATTCCTGGCACCCTGAGCCTCACCAGGAGTGATCCCTGAGGCAGGAGTAAGCTCTCAACACCTCTGGATATGCCTCCACCCTTCCCCCACACACACACACACAAAGATGAGGGCAATTCAGATCAAGGAGAGGAGAAAGTTTAGCAGGGAAATTAAAAAAGGTTTGGGCAGACAGCTTAAGCTCCTTCAACTCCACATACCCTAAACATCCCCAGGGAAACTTCTCAGTTCTGAAGTTCCTCCTCCCTTTATTTTAACCCCAAGTAAGTCTTGTTCTTGCAATTATTACTGAGCATGTAGGAAGTCTGGATGTGGTGTCACTTGCCACCACTTGCCAAGAGAGGAATTTTTCTCCTCTAACTTCTGTCTACTCAGAAGACACAGGTAGAGGTCTCCAGGGTAGTCCTGGGTGTAAACAGGAGGCAGGTGAGCCCACGGGGGGGGGGGGGGGGGGGGGGGGGGGGGCGGGGGGTGTGGTGCCTTGGGAGGGAAGGTACACATGGAAGGAACCTGGGGGTGTGAAGTGAGTGCAAGTGCTGAGATGGGTAGGAGGACCCTGGACACGGTACATGCGGGAGGGAAGGAAGCAGGAACGGTCTGGTTGCTTGGTTTCATCAAGAGGATGGGCTCTCGAGGGAAGTGGGGGTGCAGAGAACACCTGAAGAAATCTTGGGATTGCATTCCCCTCGCCCCCCGCCCTCGTTGTTTTGAGCCACACGCAGCAGTGCTCAGTACTTTTTTCTGGCTCTGTGCTCAGAGATTGGTCACTTCTGGCCAGGCTGGGGGGGGGGGGGAGGGGGGCGGAGCATGGCCCTGTACTATCTCTCTAGCCTAGGTCTTGGGATTGGAGTCTGAGTTTGGTTGTCTCTGTTTTTTTGTTTGTTTGTTTGTTTGGTTTTTTGTTTGTTTGTTTGTTTGTTTGCTTTTTGGATCACACCCGGCGGTGCACAGGGGTTACTCCTGGCTCTGCACTCAGGAATTACTCCTGGCGGTGCTCGGGGGACCATATGGGATGCTGGGAATCGAACCCAGGTCGGCCCTATGCAAGGCAAACGCCCTACCCGCTGTGCTATCGCTCCAGACCCGTGGGTGTCTCTGAATGAAGGCTGAGGAAGAACTTGGAGGGGCCTCTCCAAGCAGGGATGATGGAGCAGGAAGAGTGAGTCAGGGCAGAAAAAAATACATAAGAGCCCACTCCCCACTCTTGCTTCTGGGCCAAATCCCCCTCTTGAGGTTGCAGGACAGGTCAGGTGAGACACAGGGTCAGTGTGTGCCTGATGCAGGCTCGCTGGGTAGGCTCTATCCCTCCTCTCCACCCACTCCTCCGGCTCACTTACATTTAGGTCAATTTTGCAAGACCCCTCTCCTTTAAATAGCTCTCTTTGGAGGTTAGACTTCTAGCAACTTCTGCCAACGGGCACCACTGCACTCCTTGCCACCAGTGACCAGTCACACCTTCACCAATGTGGCCTGTCTCTGAGGTAGGGCAGCAAAGGGGTTCTCTCCCGGAGACTAATCGCATGTTTAGACTGTTCCCGGGCCAAGTAGAGAAACTCTGTCTTGAGCTGGAAGAACTCAGGAGGCTGGAGAATGTGCTTTGTACACGAGACCCCTACTACCGTCCCTGATACCCCAGGAGCCATTTCTGAGCGTCTGGAGAGGAATAACCTCTGAGCATCATGAAGAGTGACGCCCAAAACCAAAGAAACTAATATGAAGGGGAGGGTCAAAGCAATAGTACAGTGAGTAGGACATTTGCCATGCGTATCACTGACCCAAGTTGCATCCCTGAGCGTCACCAGGAGCAATTCCTGAGTGCAGAGCCAGGAGTAACCTCTGAGCATTGCCGAGTGAGACCAAAAAGCAAAAATTAATTAATTAATTAATTAATAGAAAGAAAGAAAGAAAGAAAGAAAGAAATTTGTCTGGGGCCAAAGAGATAGTACAGTGGGCAGGGAAGTCCACCCGAATTTCATCCCCTCCACTATATGTGGTAACCAGAATCCCAGGATTGAGCCCTGAGCACAGCCAGGTGTGGTCAGGAGCAGGGAGGAAAAAGAAGGGGGAGACACTGTAGGGAAAGTAGGGTTGACGGGGCGGGGGGGGGGGGCGGGAACGGGTGGTGTCCATACTCCCCATTCTCCCTGAGCCTGGCACCTTCCGTCTCTGCAGACAACTGCTTCCCTCGTGTTTCAGCAGGAGGGACTGTTGGCACACGACTCTGGATTCCAGGTGTCTGTTCCCACCTTTGCACGTCCAGAAGGTTCCTCATCTCCGAGCAGGTTGGAGTTTTGCAGGCACTAATGAGACGGGCTGGTGGAGTTTCACAGGCTTCTACAGTTTTCAGGAAACACTGAAGAAGAAGAGACTGAGTCTCACAAACACAGCTTCACTTCTATCCCAGTACCTTGAGGCTCATACTGCAGACCAGAAACGGGTTTTTGCAATCAGCACTCACATGCAGACACCCCACAGCTGGGGCTTCCCGAAGGTGGAAGGTGCAGGCTTCTAGCAATGGTGAAAAGACAGGGCAAGGAAGGGACCTCCGTGTATTTGGCTTTATGCTGACAGCTAAGAAGGATGATGCTAAGGAACGTATAAAAGAGCATTTGGGGTGAACTGGATTTGGCCAAAACATTTTCCTGCGAGAAAAACCCTCAGGATCCCACTCCATCTGTGTTAATTCTGTACTTGATCAAAAGCAGGAGGCCAGGAAGGATGTCGTTTCAATGAGCTCTGAGGAGGACCAAGTATTTCATATATATATATATGGCTGCGTGCAAGGCAAATGCCCCACCGCTGTAAGGCATTTGCCTTGCACGCAGCCAACATGGCCGACCTGAGTTCGATTCCTCCGCCCCTCTCGGAGAGCCCGGCAAGCTACCGAGAGTATTCGATATGCCAGACACAGTAACAACAAAGTCTCCAATGGAGACGTTACTGGGCCCGCTCGAGCAAATCGAAGATCAATGGGAGGGCCTTTACCTTTACCTTTATATATATATATATATATATATATATATATATATATATTTGGCCTGGAGTCATAGCACAGTGATAGGACATTTGCCTTGTGCACAGCCAGCCTGGCTGAGTCGTGTTCAATTCTTCCGCC